ACCTGTAACCCCAACCCCTACAAAATCTTAGGTTAGGATCATAGGGTCTAACCCCTTAAAAACGGTAGGTTTTTGGGTTTCCCAGGTATACCTTGACAACAAAGCTTTAAAGCATAGAGGGATCTTGAAGATGGTTTAGCACGGTTTCAAGCCCAAAAAAGATCCTAAGCAACAAGAAGGATCCGGACTACGGTGGATGAGATAAATCCTGCATGACCCATAATAAGGAATATACCATAATTCCCATAGTTTAGGGTCCTTAAGGTGATGCAGGATTAATATCATCAACAGTATGATTCAAGGTCTCCTTTATATACTCCTTATCTTTATGGGTTTTGCTATTACCTGAAACCTAGAAAGGACGCCTTAGTTTGATTTCAGGTTTCAACTCGGTTTAGGCTTGGGGCGAGGTCTGCTCCTTGGGATCACGTCGGGACCCTAAACCCTGAGCCCTGAGCCCAAACCCTAAACCCTAAGCCCCAAACCCCTAAATCCCTAAGCCCTAAGCGCTAAACCCTAAATCCCTATAAGCCCTAAACCCTACACCCAAAGCCCTAGGCCCTAAGCCCTAAAACCCTAAAGCCCTGAAGCCCTAAACTCAGATGCCGGCGCTGCCAAAACCGCCCGATCGCTCTCGCTGAGCTGCGCTTTGGGACGGCTGGCCTTCGGGGTTTAGGGATTGGTCCTAGGCCCATTAATGACCCTAAACCCGAAACCCCTAAGCCCCATACCCTAAACTCTAAACCCTAAACCCCAAACCGCTAAGCCCTAAACCCCTAAACCCTAAACCCAAAACCCTTAACCCTAAACCCCTAAACCCCTAAACCCCATACACGCAACCCCTAAAAGCCCTAAATTTCTAAAACCCTAAACCTCTAAAACCCAAAAGCCCCAAACCTGAAGATTCAGGGTTTGTAAAGGCTTTGCGAGTCGAAAGCCCAGAAGGTCCTAAGTACCTCCATACTCGTAGTACGGGTTTAGGGTGTAGCGGTTTAGGGGTTAGGGGTGTAAGGGTCTGGGGTGTAGGGGTTTAGGGGTTTAGGGTGTAGGGATTTAGGGTTTAGGGGTTTAGGGTGTAGGGGTTTAGGGGTTTAGGGTCTGGGGGTTTAGGGGTTTTAGGGTTTAGGGGATAGTAGAATGTAGGGTTGCTATACGAGGAACTACTATCATGATTTGGGGAAGTATCTCCCATAACCCTAAACCCTAAACCCTTTGGGAAGGTAGGCTCTAAGAGGACGACTGTGGGGTTTCTGAGGGTTTAGATTCCTGCCTCAGAGGCTTAGTAGAATTCTTTTGGAAGGAAAAGGCACACAACACACAACAAAACAATACCACAATAAAAGATAAAGACCAAAACAACAAAAAGCAAAATGCACTTAGCAGACTATGAGGGTTTTGGGGCTTCAGGGTTACAGGCCTAGCGTTTGAGGGCTTAGGCCGCTTAGGCCTTAGGCATTCATGTGCCATTCAGGCACATGGACCCTTCGAGAGTACGCCCTAAACCTTAAACCCTAAACTCTAGACCCTAAGCTCTAAACCCTAAACCCAAAGCTCCAAGCTCTCATTCCCAAGTTCAACATTCAGGTGGGCTCGCGGGCTTTACAGCTAATGTATGGGGCCTTATACTGTAATATTTCGAACAGGGTTTTGGGCTCCTTTATAGTATTAGTTCGACTACGGAACCTAAGGAATAAATATAGGTAATGATTTAGGCTTCTAGATTCGACAATAGCCGTGGCTCCTCAGACACACCTTATACCCCACTAATTGTTTTATGGGTTGGGGGGCCGCACGAATACTCTGCGTGCTAAGCACAGCTGCGAAGACATCTAAACTCACAACCTGGAATTGAATTGGGAGTTAGGATCAGGGCGACCCTTGAGGATATAGACCTTCTCAAGGTCCCATTTAAGAGAGCCAGAAGTAGGATTCAGAAGGACCGGTTTCCCTAGTACTACCTAGGAGGAATAACACCCCCGGGCCGGAAGAGGACTTAACCAGACGGGGACATCTCAAACCCAAGCTCTCAGATCCGTTCATCAACGGTTCCAAAGGCTTGATGCTTCCTGGCCCCTACAAGAGTGCAGCTTAAGATTTCAGGCCCAGGGCTTGTAATTTAGGGCACTAAACCTTAAGCCCTAAACCCTGAACTCTAAACCCTAAACTGTAAACTCTAAACCCTAAACTCTAGACCCTAAACTCTCAACCCTAAACCCTAAACCCCCTTCAAGCCCGAACTCCAGCCAGTGCCGTTCAAGACCCCCAGACCCTAAACGTCAAAGCCGTATTAGAATAGGGTTTGGGTTTGAAGGTTTGGGGGTTTAAGGTCTAGGGAAGGCTAATGTCGGGGCCTTTCCATTTAGAATAGGGTTTTGGGTTCCTTTTGTACATTTAGTACATTTGTATGTAACAAGGAACCCTGTGAGGAACTATTAGAATAGGGTTTTGGGGCTCTTTTGTGGTGTTTTCAATTTCTAAGAATTAAGGAACCTGAAGAACTGTTAGAATAGGGTTTGGGGCTCCTTTGTAGTATATGTGTACTACGGAACACTGAGGAGCAATAACATAGGTACTGTTTTAGCCTTCTACTTCTACATTACCCCTAAGACTCCAAATGGCCCAAAGTAGGTACCATTTATAGACTTTAGACCCCAAAGTAAGTACTATTTGCATACTTGGAGTCTTAGGGTACTGAAACCCCACGCATTACCCGGAACCACTGTGAAGAAAAACCTTTCGGCGGAGCATTCCGTCGAAAGCGTGTCGGAGCCTTGGCGCAAGATGCCGTCTGAGTTTCGGCTTTAGGCTATACCTAGGCCCGTTTTTAAGGTCCTATATAAGGAAATCATAGTAAGGAACCCGAAAAAGGAGGTTCTTTGGGCTCTAGGTAGGGTTTACGTGGTCCAGGCTTTACCGGCAGCTTAAGACCCAAAGAAATGGATAGCTGTAATGCGAAGGGCTTTGGGCCGGAGTTGTAGGATTGACGGCTTCAGATTGAATCTGAGGGGTGATGTTTAGGGCTTCACTTGGGGTTTAGGGTTTTTTATATAAGTGCAATGAATCGGATGTTACGACCAATCCAGCCTCTGCGAACCTACACTCAGTGAAACAACCCAGCAAAGAAGACTCACGATCCGCCCCAATCTTCACGACGTCAAAGAAGAACCCACATCCAACAGCGCCAACAAGTTTCACGACCCAGCTCAATTCACAATCAGACTACAGCCAGCAAAAATCACATAGACGAAGATCATCATGTGACGTTGGAGAAACTTAGCAACGGAGAGGGCAGTGGAGTAGATCTGCAAAGCATACTTTCAGAGGGCAATGAAGAAGAAGAAGACGACCCAGCAGGCATGGTAGAAGACAGTGTGGACTCATCACTGACGCCTGCATGTTCGAGCGCTCAAAGCAGCGAGCGGCGGCTAGAGGCAATGAACTTCAAGAAGGCGCACTTGCTAACGGGCGATGCACAAAGAACTACCAAGAAGTACTTTGCAAGATGCACAGGCCAACCAGTTCGTTGCACTCTTGTGGCTCTGGAAGTTTACGGGGTTTCTGGTGTCTGGGTTCGGAAGACTCAAGGCAGGCATCACACTGATACGCAAGGACTGCCTCCACCAGGGCTGGGCTCTCTCCAGCGGCTTTAAGGTGTTGGGAAAGCTTTAGAGGAGCAGGGTGGCCAAGACGGCCAAGATTGTTGCGCGCACGAATCAATCGGCTTTTGGGCTCCGGCTCGGGCCACGTTATGGGCACTGGAGGAGGAGCCCGTCAGCAGCAGCCACGCATCATTCAGTAGAAGGACTTCCTGGATTCGGCACACTCACACACGAAGTCATCATCGCGCATGGAGACAGGCAGTCCTTCTCAGAGACTTCAGCGTGTCAGTGGCCCGAATTTTGTACGTCGACAGAGCCTCAACTCCACTCGCAAGCACGGGTCTTGTACAACTCTCCACGTATTCTGAGGCCCGCACATGCTTCAAGCTTGCTCGCGTCCGGCCCACTTCTCCACGGCCATCTGGGACTTGGCCAGCAGGAAATAGGCCAGCTCTTCGAGCATGCTGTGGGCACCAGCCCTGCAGCAGAAACCGAGGCAGGGCACGTTAAGTTCAAGCGCAGTGCAACGCAAGCAGCGATCAGCCAGCCTCTGGCGGGGTCCCTGCAAGATGTCGAGCACGTGCTCAACTGCCTCTGGCCCCAAGACAATCCGTGGTCCGCGGAACCAGACCATGCCAAGGGTGATGCCGCGGCAGAACTTTTCCTTGGTAAAACGAGAATGGCCACGCGCTACTACCAGGAGAAACACGATTTCTCGTGACTTAATCTCCAGCCCAGCGGCGCACACAGCTTCGGCCTGCTCCACATCCTTTATGATGTCCCCGACCGCGAAGTTGTGGAACATCTGCTCAGTAAGCACACGCTAACGCTGTGCAGAATGTCCCAAACCCGAGCTCGAACACGCGCCTCCAAAGACTCCAGGCTTAGGTTCCAAGCTTAGGTTGGAACGGCGAGGACGGCAGCCACTTGCTTGTCTTTGGGGACCATGAGTTTCTTTGCAATGTACTCGGCGTTCGAAATGAACTCCTCGCAGCGATACTTCTTGTGCGCGTCCATCACCTTATATACAGTGCTAGACTCGCAATTAAATCAAACAAGTGCCAAGCGCTTATCAGACCCAGCCGCAGCATGTGCAAGGGTAGTGAAGATCAAGGCCACGTTGAGGTGGTCGACGCGTCTGGTTTCCGGCGCCATGGCTGTGGCTCTGCCACTCATGTTAGCCTGAGCGCTGCTTCAGCACTTTGACGCACAACGCCGGACCTCAACAAACAAAACACAACGAACAAGACGCCGGAGGTCACTGTCACGTCTACCCAACAAGCACAAACCAATGAGAACTTGCGACCAAGCGGCGACTATGCATTCGCACTCTTGGTCAGTCGTAGTTCTGGAATGGTTCCCACCCCTCCTCCATGATCCCCTTAAGAGTCATGAGCATTTTCACGTTCCTGACTCCAACCCCCCCATCTTCTTCATGACTGCCTTCTATCGTTCTCACCTTCGGTTCTATTCGGGCAACACGCGCGGCTGTCCACGAGGCCATGGGGCCGATGCTGTTGTTGATTTCGAAGGCAATGGCAACGTCGTCAGTTGTGCCATCCGCGCGGCGCCCGCGGCCGGCGACAACCGGCCTCTTCAAGATGACCTCCCAGGCTGACTTCACGTGCCTGCAACCGTCGCAGCAACCGTCAATCCAGGTCATTTCAGCCCATGTCGTCTTCTCGGTGGTAGGGACAGAAAACCCATCGCCGTAGTCCTGCATCTCAGAGTACAGGTAACCGAAGTTGTGAGGAAGTTCCTCGAACAACAGCTCCATCGGAAGCATGGACACACCAGTGGCGAGGGCCGCCCCAGTCCAGCCGTTGCTGGGGGGGGCATAATTGTAGGCACTGCCGAGCATCACCAAGAGCGAAGCTTTGCGGTCGAGCTGGTCGAGGCTTGGGGCCACGCAAATCTGCGTGGGTACCTCGCACGCGTCCTGATAATAGCGGACGAACTGGGAAAGCGTTGCGAGCTTGGCCTGGGCATAGTCGGTTCGGCGCGCCCCATGTTTGCCCAGCCGTTTCTCAAGGGGGGCCTTGCTCGCACCCTTTAGCTTGGTCTGCAAGCCGTTCATCGCAGACCGAGCCATATACAAGTAGGTGCGGTCCCCGTCCTTCGCTTCGCACATCGGCAACCAGAATGGAAATGTGACCGTGCTGCGCCCACTGGCTCAGCTCGTATAGGCGGCAGCTCCGATCACCAACGTCTGGATGCCTTCCTCCTCAACGCGGACTTGCCTCGCCTACAGGCTGCGGATCACACCTCTAATGGCTGCCACTCGGGCGTGGTCACCAGCGGTGGTCTTCACCCGCTGAAAAGCGACCTCATACCCGGCATCGGCAGCCCAGCGCTTGACGTCCGCAGCATCTTGGGGGGTCAAAGATTCTGCGACCTTGATTGCATTGGCCGCTTGTCTCTTCAGGGTGTCCGCAACCCTAGCGCTAAGCGCACTGTCAGCCACGCTGACACAGACGGTGTCCAAAGTCGTGGCCAGGTCGGTAGCCATGGTGAATCCCGGTACGACGCACTCCAGCTGGCTGGTGTGTTTGCGAGGACTCGCGGGGCCAGGTTAGCACCTCAGCACCAGAAAACAAACCAAGGACTACCTCGGTAGGCACAGCAGGGTTTAGGGTTTAGGGGCTTGGGGTGTAGGGCTTAGGGGTGATTTACGGGGTGAGAGTTTAGAGGCTGAGGCTGACGAGTTGGGTTGGAAGGTATGCTTTAGCCGTTTCACGTGCGGTCTACACTTGGGTCTAGGGTTTAGCATTTAGGGTACATATATGCTCTGGAGTGCAAGGGGCGGACAGAAAATAACTTTGGCCTCAGCTGCCCTACAGCCCAGGCCATAGAAACGCCTCGTACGCTAAACCCGCCTTGACAAGCAGCTTAGGTCGAACACGTAGGTAATGAGGTGTCGGTAATTGCTCTTTTGGGACATCAAAACGGGCCCCAAAGTAGAGAAGTAACCACATGAAACAGGAATGAATTGAGCTTTCCTTAGCCTCCAATCCGAACTCGGAACCCCTCCCTCTCTTCTACGAGGGGGGAGGGTCAAGGACGTGAAAATCCAACTTAGCACAGCCCGCTTGTGGGTCGAGGCTTTAACGGAACTTTAATTAAGTCTAAAGGCTGAAAAAAGCCCTTGAGAGTGAGAGTAAGTAAGGACTTGATGCTGAGAGCTGAAAGGTAGCGTTTATTTTTCTAGTCTTTGGCGATGTGGTCTTCGTTCAACACGACCTGCGTTTCGACTGATGTCAACCCAGCTGCAGCAATGATCAGCTACAAAACGTATGATGATAATCGTTCTACAAGCAAGATCGCCGTCGGCCGACATCAGCAATTAACAACAACATCACGACCGGTGAAATAACATAGTAGCACCACGCTTAGCGGCAAAAGGTCGCATGTCTCAGGGCTCCACTGCCGAATGTGCGCTGCAGCGCGCGGTGCAATGTTGAGTGTGTGCCAGTGCTTCTCTCCACCTGTGGTCACTATATCTGGACCCTAAACCCTAAACACCTTGTGAAGTTGTAATTATGGCTTCAAGGTGTCTAGGGTACAGGCCTTCCTAAATCCAGTACCCAATTCTTTTGCTGAGGTCAACTTTACCCTGGCCTGCTGCAGAGGTCAAGATGATGGATTTGTCACGGAACTCAAAATCCCCAAATCACACCATACACCGAATCCCTAAACCCCAAGCCGTTGTGGCCAGATCTTCAAACACAGCTTGCCTTGCAGAGATAGCTATGGCTTTTATGGACTCGCGGGTCACATGGTCAGGTAAGGATCCCACAACGCCAAATTCAAAAAAACATGATCAAACTCTGAGGGTTTAGCGTTTTAGGCAAATAAGCCGGCAACCCAGAATAACTAAAGCCCAGGAAATTGGGGCTCAGCCGCCTATGGACAGGTGGAAAAGGCCTAAACCACAAAACAGGAGCCGTAAGAAAGCATCTCTTTTGGGCTTGTAGGCTAAGAGAGCTGCTCCTTCGGGCTTTAGGATTTAGGATCTTAGGGGTTTAGGGTTTAGGGTTTCGGGGTCTAGGGGTTTAGGGGATTAGCCTTAGTGGTTTAGGGGTTTAGGGGTTTAAAGGTTTAGGGGTGTTTGCGGTTTAGGGGTTCAAAGGTTCGGGGTTTAGGGGTTTAGCGGTTGAGGGCCAAGTTTAGGGTTTATAAGGGGTTTTGGGCGGCCTGTACCGACGGAAACGACCTTCTCCATGGGATGAATGCCTTGGTTGAAGCTGTTGGCTGCTGCGGAGTAGGCCCTTTAGGGCTTAGGGTTTGGGGCTTAGGGTTTAGGTTTAAAGCTTAGGGCTTATGGAGCCTACAACCGGGCCCTTTTTAATGATGTGCTGTTTTAAGTCTGCGGAAGAGGTAGGTACTTCGGGGTTAAGGTGGAGCCTAACCCCCAAAACCTCAAAACCCTACACTTTCAGTGCACTCCAAAGTGTAAGACCTCCCAAGCCTACGTACAATAAAACCCATGCAAACCCGGAACTTACCCTAAACCCCTAAACCCTAAACCCCCTAGACCCTAAACCCCAAACCCTAAATCCTGAACTTCTAGACTCCTGAACACCTAAACCCTAAACCCCTAACCCCTAACCCCTAAAACCCTAAACCCCTACAGTTTAAACCCCTAAACCCTAAACCCCAATAGCCCTAGCCCCTAAAGCCTTAAACCCCCTACAGCCTAAACTCATCTTCCAAAACCCTAAAACCCAAACCCCTAAAGCCCTATGAAAACCCAAAAGCCCAAACCCCTAACACCCTAAACCCTAAACCCTAACCACTAAAACCCTAAACCCCTAAACCCTGAACTTAGCCACAGGGCTTCTTCGAAGCGGTCTTCATAGGGAGGGCGTTTGTCAACAAGGGCCTAGGACTTCTTGGTGCGTACTCAAGAGCGTGTTTCGGGGGTGGTTTTTTGGGCTTAGGGGGTTTAGAGTTTAAGGTTTAGGGGTTTAGGCCTTTAGAGTTTAGGGGTTTAGAGGTTTAGGGTTTGGGGTTTAGGGGTTTAGGGGTTTAGGGATTAGGGTTTAGGGTAAAGGGGATCACTCTGTACAGTATCATATAATAACAGAACCAGCGCAGCTACAACAGCAACGACCAGAGCCAGGGCAACAAGTGCAGGGCATGAAAAACTCCGCGACGCAATGAGATACTTCAAGACGGAAAAAAAGCAGCACCCGAACCATGTAAGCACGAAGGCCTACTAGCTCAAATCCTAAACCAACTAAAAGAAAATCCTACGGTCGATCATCTAGATCCTGCATGACCCATAATAAGGAATATACCATAATTCCCATAGTTTAGGTCCTGAATGCTGATGCAGGGTTTATATCGTCAATCGTATGTAAAGCCAACTCCCGTCCTGCGGGTGTGTAGTAGAGAAACTCAGATTCCTGAGGCCCAGGACTCAAGCTGTTGGCTTCGCCGCCAAAGAGCAGCAGCGCCTTGCGTCAGGGTTTTTCGGGGTTTTTGCGCTGAGGGTTTTGGGCTTCTGGGTTCTGGACCCTAAACCCTAAACCCTAAACCCTTGCATTTGGGAGACAAGGCTTGGATCGGTGGTGGGCAGGATTTGGGGCTCTGCGGCTTTCGGGGTACTGAATCCTCGAACACTGGCTTCAAAAGTGGCCGTAACAGCAACCCTAAACCCGAGACCCTGGAGATGGGGCCCCAAGAAAGCAGATAAGCAAAAATTAGGATAGGGGTATCCCATATAAACCATCTTATAATGAAGCCCAATAAGGTAGGGATATCCCTTTAAAATGCTTATGCTTATGTTCTTTTTGGGTTCCTGAGCCAAGTCTCGCAGTTGCTCCCGTGTGAGCAGAGGCAGCACGCTGAGAATCCGATCGGCGTCCCAGTCGTGCAGAGCTTCTGCAGGGATTCCGGAACATCCACTTAGCATTGTCAAAATCCTACACCCTAACCCCTGAATCCGTAAACTCCAAAAAACCCTAAACCCAAAGGTTTCGCAAGTGTTCATAAGCCTAGTAGGCACAACATGAATCTTAAACACGACATGAAGTAGGCACAACATGAATCTTAAACACGACATGAACCCTAAAATGGCTTCAGCTT